CCCCACATATCAATCAATCAACATCACCCTTTGCGAGACCAAAGCGGGAGCACAGTTTAGCACCGCTTGTCCAATGGTCATGGCTTGTTTTGTTTGCTAACTCCAAACGCAAAAATTGGTCGCGCTTTCTTTATCTGTCGGTTGATGGTGCTGCAGCCGCGACAGAGCGCAGGTCAAGCGCTTGCGTGTTTCCTTTCATAAAAGGTTACACTGTACATCAATGGCGTAGCAATAGGCATAAATGCGTCAGTTATATTGCTTGCAAATAACTGCGTAATATATAAAAAATAACGACTCCCACCAGCATCATTCACACACAGTCTGCCCTCAGTAAACTAACACATTGGTGCTCCGTATGGCAGATGAAAATTAATACAGATAAAACAAAGTATCTTAAGTTTAGTACGGCCGCAATTATCAGAAGTCATACACAATTTACAATATCAAAACTTGCACGATTTCGACATATACACAGTTCGGTGTAATATTTATTTCGACTTTGACCTGAAATAACCACATAGATTACACATTTTCTAAAGCCCTGAAGAAGCTTTGCCTCTTGAAGCGACGCCATCATCTCACGAACTGTAACACCAGGTTATTTACCTCACCCAGTCGTCCTCCATTAAAATACGCATCTATTATATACATTTTCATCGCGTCACCTGGTATAATCACCTCTAAGTGGTTCAAAACAAAACAGCCCGGTTCATTCTATCATCGTATTTTCAATTTTGAAGTGTCAAAGAACTAAAAAGCAATGTTATTGTGCATTTACTCGCCTTGCTTCGAACTCTTGCCCGGTTATCCTTCTTTGACACTCACTACCCTATAGAAGCACGTCTTATCTCTTATTGTAGTCGCGTACCACTTTCTGTCTAAGTTAAAGTCAAACCATTTTTTTCTCAAACTGAAAAATACTGGGAATCACCTCTTGCACTACCAATAGATCAACGGAATTTACTGTCATCAAGCATTGCCACTAGGAACGATCACCACTCTTTTCTGTTAGCGCTCCGCTCATTTCTCGAGCACAATAACACTTCGATAAATCACATCGTTGTATCTTATACTGCACGTCATCTTTCATTTTCTTCACTTCAGAAACTGAACAAACCTGAAAAATTATCTTGATATTATCCTTATTTGTGAAATGTTGTTTCTGCACTGTATTTCTTGAAAAGGAAAAAGTTTTACTTTTTCATTCCTGAAATTTGATTGTATTTCACTCCTTAATAATTTCTCTTGTGTAAAGCTCCCCTGACTCTTAGGGTATCTAAATAAATAAATTAATTAATTAATACTCTGGTACCACACGTTATTACTTCGATAGTACATGTTTATCGTGAAGCACGTAGACAGAACGCGAGTGTTTGTAAACAATGCAAGGTGCTTTCACTGCATTTCCAAGCAGAGGAACTAATTTTTACTGTTTTCGCAATAAATACCATTTAGAAAAATAGTAATTGCGTGGCTCTGTGGTTGAACGTTTGTTCGTCATGCAAAAGAACCGGGTTCGATCCCCACTCGGACCCAGAATTTTTATAGCGTTTATTTTTTTCAGTATTTCTCGATTTTTTGGTCGCGTAGAATATGTTGATTTTTCGCTCCCAACAACTCCGCAGTTTCTACGAAATGAGCTCTTTAACTCTGTAGCGTTAATGCGCAGACATGCGGCGATGTCAGTGCGATGGCTTTTGCGGGCGGTACACAGACGCGCACAATCCCAGTTCAGCTTCATGTCACTGCGTGCTAGTAAGAACGACGATGATCGATGGCTGTGGTGACCCTCAGCCGATATGCATGTTGCATTGGAGCGATGCAGGCAACACATGCCCCGTTGCAACTTGTCGCTGATGAAACGATGGTACGCGATGAAACGTTGCAGTAGAGCTCTGGGAGCTTCCACTGTTTTGGTATACTTCGAACACGGTACCAACCGTCGAATTAAGATTGCTGAGGCTGATACCAAGTCACGAGCGAATAACAGTATAAAAAAGAGCTGATTTTGGAAGAAACAAACATCGTATATATAAACTGAACCGGGTTTGTTTGCCTCAGTGCCGCGGTTCACCGTCTCATGTCGCGTTACAAAGTCATGATGCAAAGCGGCCGTGATTGGGGGTGCATTTTACTGATGGACACTATAGAAAATTTTACTTTAGTATTCTTAGGTTGTCACCTACTATTGGCATGCGTGTGTGTGACGTGGTGGTGACGTTTTCGAAGCAGTAGTCGGCATATTTACGAGGAAACTTTCTTTGAGCAAACTTTTGCCCAGTATATAGAACATCAAAATACAAGTGATACTCTGCGCAGTGATAGTAGCGAGAACAGTCATCGGTCATCGAGTATTCTGCCAAGGCATAAAGAATGTCAGCTTATATACATTTGCCATAGATGACTCCAGCGTGATTGTAGTGCCGGCGCATATATGTTTCATAAAAAATTTAATGTTCGAGTTGTACGCGTAATCTTATCGGAAGGTCCTAAATTGACCTGCAAGTTTCCCCAGTCATGCGGGCGGGGTTTACGCGAGGCAGTAGTTGCATACAATGGGTGCGTGTTTTTGACGTTCATCGTCGGTGCGGACGCTCATTCACGTAGAACCAGTACGGGAAAGCTTCGTACACCTCGCGTGTTAATATTATGCTATCGCGAAGTACTTTCACCTCCTTGCCCCTTGAAACGATACGCAAGCTAGGTTGAGGTTCTTCTTTTCGTTTTTGTGTAGATAGCTTCAAAGTATGAAGTAGTGTTGAGAAAATGGCAAACGAAGACACTCGCGCAACCATACTGCGGTTTAAATTTGCGCTTGAATGCCTACGGGTGTTCATAATACATTCATTCATGGTAAGCACCCTCATTATCTAAAACACCTGCCCGCCGACCTTTAGACATTGGTATTTGGGGACAGAAAAGGACAAAGTATGGTCTTGTGTGCCTGCCAGTTGGTTCAATATTTTTTTTTTTTTGAGTGACGTGCACGCTATAATGGGGAAGTGCGATTGAGACTGACATATTTAAAGTTAAACCACTTTAATGGTTAGTGAAATGCAACAGCCACAGCCCATAAATTCCTCGCGGTGCAACCACTGGAATCACGCTAATTCGTTTGTTGCAAGGCATCTTGCGTACAAATGTTGCACCAGCGAATCAGGACAAGGGCATGCCGCCTACCGCCCGACAGATATGCGATCGCACCACACCCATTAACAAGTTAAATCAGCAATATGCTACAACTGAGTTTGAAAAACCACTTTCCTTGAAAGTTTTAAGCTCAACGAACTTGATTGATTGATTGATTGATTGATTGATTGATATGTGGGGTTTAACGTCCCAAAACCACCATATAATTATGAGAGACGCCGTAGTGAAGGGCTCCGGAAATTTTGACCACCTGGGGTTCTTTAACGTGCACCCAAATCTGAGCACGCGGGCCTACAACATTTCCGCCTCCATCGGAAATGCAGCCGCCGCAGCCGGGATTCGAACCCGCGACCTTCGGGTCAGCAGCCGAGTACCTTAGCCACTAGACCACCGCGGCGGGGCTGCTCAACGAACTTGTTACACAAGTGCGGCAGCTTGGGCTAGTAGGTATGACATTACGAAAGTTATACCGCGAGAACATAACGATGACAATTAGACAAGGAGGACACGAGCACTTGTGTCCTTCTTGTCTCGCGCTATAACTATCGTCTTGTCACACAGGCTTCTGGCCCTATGTTTCAAAGCATTTAAATTTTATTCTTCAGCTGTGAATATGTGCGTAAACAAAATTTTTGTAAATATCGTGTAGGAACTTTGTCAAGTTTCCTGACAGCAGTTATGCGCCATGTTTTTTTTCACTTGGTTCATGCTGCACGAGCTAAAAACGAATGCCCTTGTGAGATTGTAAGAAAAGTTGAGACATTTTAAATTGAGTCAAATATCTTTGTACAACTCGACCATTGGCGTTTACGCAAACTTATCATCTCTCTAAGTGAGCAGAATTTCAGCGCTAATAAGCGTATGCAGTGCTTACCTGGATATCCTATGATTGTTGCAGTAGTTGGAAGTTTCGGGGCACGAAAAAGCCACAAACCCATTATAGAGTGCAATGTAGCTTCCTTGGCCGCGTTTCGCACCCTCCTGTAGCGTGTACGGGTTGAAATGCCTTGGCATGCTAAACACTTGGCGCTACACTACCAAAAGTGGCGGATCCAATCATTTTGGATCACACAGTCAGACTCCTCTGCTTCTTTCGCGGTGTGTTCCTGGGCAGACTAGTATTTTTAGGTGCTTCTGTCGGTGCATGTTGCTTCTGGTCATCTAACTTTAGTTCCACTTGTAAGCTATTCAAAATCGCCCACTAAAATATTTTCACTTTAGAAAACATAAAAAACATGAACTTCAGGGAAAGCTTACAGTGTAGCTCCGTGAACATAAGGTTTTCTTTAAGGAAGAAAATTATTTCATTTCAAAAAAATCTGACGAGTCAATAAAACCTCAGGTGTGCGCAGGGGTGAAGACGGGGGGAACAGGGCGGGGGCACTTACCCCCCCCCCCTTTAGTCACCTCAGAAGGAGGGAGCGAAATCTGCCCATACGGGGGGAAGGACGCTGCAATAAATTTACGCCTATGAATATAACATAGCAGCCATGAGATCGATCATATAGCTCCCAGATGAATTCTGAGCATACACAACTCGTATCCTGGAGATTTGTTCCGTGAAGATGCGGCCAGTCGTCAAGCATGCAAGCTTAGTGTGGTGTTCTTTGCAAACGAGGAGTCTTCACAGCTGCATTCAGAGGCAGCCGCAAACTATTGTTTCTGGAATTTTTATCTCTACTTCGAATGAAAAACACTCAATCACTCGTAGAGGAGCTGATTCGACCCAATTCTGGAACATGTGACTCGCGAAAAGCAAGTAAAAGGGCGATTCCGTGATACAGAACACAGTCGCTTGCAGAGGTGTCTTTTTCCGATGCTCACACATGGGCGTGATAATTCACACTCACCATAGGTCGTGCGGCTCTTCATGTTATTAAGGAAAGGAACATATTAGCTGATCGTTTGTCCGGCAGTCTCACACATTATCGTACGGCCCGGATACGGTCTGAATTCTAGCGGCATCCTCGCTACATGCAGCGCATTTGGCAGCAGAAAACTGGGCCGCCGTTGAGACGTAGAGCGAGGCACGAGAGCGTCGCTCGGCGTGTCAGGCGGACACTCACCGGCAAGCGACGCTAGGCCCACGAAGACCACGATAGAGATCATCATTCGCTCGAAGCTGTCGACGGTCTCCGCTTGGCGACGATCTCGTTGCTCCGTTTGTCCTCTCTCTCGAGGGAAAGTGGTGTGCATGGACCGGTTCAGCTGGTTGCGCTAACCCAGATTCCATACTCCCGTGTGTACGAGGGCCGTTGTGGTTGCTCTATCTCCACAGCGTGTGCATTGCATTGCTGTGCTGATAATGAAATCCGATTATATTGCCACACTTGCATCAGAAAAGTTCAAGCAATTCAGAGTCGGTGGAGCCGGACATACTTGCAAATTAAGCAGGAACAGGAATGCTTCTGAGATTACGATCGTAGTTCTCTGTTGTTTTGGGGGGCTTTTTTTTTCGTAGTGCTCACAATACCATAATCCACGCCTCGTACGTGCACAGGTTATCCGGAATGGTCAAACAAATTCACATTAGTGGCGTCGCAGCGGCGCAAAAAAAAAGATGTGTGAATTTACTAAAATTATGAGTACACGACAAGCCAATCGAATAGAAATGTGCTCGTTGCGCTAAGCTCTTACAACTCCGGGACATTGGAGCATGCTAGCGCCTCGCTTTATTTCTCCTACGCTTTCCACTTTGATGCCAGGTCGTCAATAAAGTTGTTTCACGCACTCACTACACGATCTGGTGTTTGATAGTCCTATTACTTGCTTGAATCTGTAGGAGAGATGTTTTGGCCGAGGGTTGCTATGTGTTGTAGATAGAAAATGATCATGATCATGCACTTTCACTGGCCCTCTTCATCACCTTACCCCTCTTCCTCGTATGCTCCGCTCCCTGAACAAGTACGCCAATTTGTCCGGCGTTGCATGCGACAAGTTCGATGAACAAGAGAAAAAGTACAGAGAGAGGGAAAGAGAACGAAAGGTAGAGAGAAATTAGACTTCAACCAAATGTCTTGGCTGCACCTGCGTTCCAACAGTCCATAGGTGAACGTAGTATCCACTCGGCTATACGCTACAGCGAGCAATAAAAAAAGATGAACATATGAGGAAAGAAGATAGAAAAACATAAAAACAGCAGTAGAAAAAAAAAGACAGCAACCATAGCCATGTAAAGCAGAGCACTATAGTATGCCTTTCCCAGCAAGGGCTGGGAAAGACAGAGGTGAGAACGCTAAAGCCTAGCCTAGCCAAGACTCGTAAGATGGCTACCAGCTCATGCTGTGACACAGCCTTGCGCAGTTTATACACACACACACACAAACATGTATATATATGTATATATATATATATATATATATATGTGTGTGTGTGTGTGTGTGTGCGTGTGTGTGTGTGTGTGTGTGTGTGTGTGTGTGTGTGTGGAATGTGGAAGTCTTTAGCTTTTAACACAAATTCCACTGGTTACACCAGTCATGAAATTTACTCACGTCTGCTTGCAGTGCTGTCACGTCCTCATAACAATATATATTTTGGTACACCACGCGATCATCTGCAAACTGTCGTAAAGTGGACATAATACCCTGATTTATGTCGTTGATGTATGTAAAAATTTCGCAGATCCGACGTACCTTGGGAAAAGACATGCTAAACATGCGGAGAGATGGTGAAGATGTAACTTTTTTATGAGTGATGTGTCATAAAATAACGCTAAATATGTGTAGAAATGTTGGATGCACAGACATATATTGACCAGTTGCAGATGTCTATACAAGCAGTTGCCCTGCCGCGGTGGTCTAGTGGCTATGGTACTCGACTGCTGACCCGCAGGTCACGGGACTTAATCTCGGCGGCGGCGGCTGCTGCTGCATTTTCGACGGAGGCGAAAATGCTGTTGGCCCGTGTGCTCAGATTTGGGTGCACGTTAAAGTACCCAGGTGGTCGTAATTTTCGGAGCCGCTCACTACGCCGTCTTTTATAATCAAATGGTGGTTTCGAGACGTTAAACTCCGCATATCAATCAGTCATTACTAAGAGGCTAGTTCTTCATGGGACAAGTGAACGGTTAGTGTTTAATTAATGAATATGCCAACCTTTTTTTTTTAAGAATGTACGATTATGAATGCTTTTATGCATCTCAGCTCACTTTCAACATCATATGTAGCAATAGCCTCTCTTTTGTCTTTTGCAACGCAACGGCAACCTACAGTGTTCTATGAGTTATCTCAAATTTGCACCTGAAATTTCTGAATTTCGTTACTTCATGAAACTGTTCATCGCACTCGGCTGCGTTTATACCCTTTGGTATCCGCACCGTTCCACTATACGGTATAAAACAGCCCTATACGCTGTCTTGCGCCATGCGCGGCCTTTATTGGTACATTTGTTTCTTTTTTTTCTTAATTTTTTCCTGTTAACTTTCAATAACAATATGTCGGTAAATCATGTGTTCCACGCTGCCATCACCTCCGCTCTGCGTAATATCGCGCTTATGAGTTTTCGTTCCATCACACGCTGTGGATTTCTCACCTTCTTTTCCGCTACCTTTGGTACCAACTAAATTATTACTTCATGTGTTAGTGCTGGTAAAAATGCAGTCATCCCACTTTTCATTTAGGATTATTGGTGAACCCCGCCGCGGTCGTCTAGTAGCTAAGGTACTCGGCTGCGGACTCGCAGGTCACGGGATTGAATCACAGCATCGTCGCCTGCATTTTCGATGGAGGCGAAAATGCTGTAGGCCCGTGTGCTCAGATTTGGGTGCACGTTAAAGAACCCCAGGTGGTCAAAATTTTTGGAGCCCTCCACTACGGCGCCCCTCATGATCATATGGTCGTTTTGAAACATTAAACCCCACATATCAATCAGTCAACCAGTGGTGAGCTGCCGATCATAAGTAGCGAATTTTCGCCGTATGCACAAATTCCGTGTACAGGTTTAGGCTCCCTTCTTATTAAGAAGTCCGAATAAACTCTTGCAGCGATTATGGTAGTACGATTGCCCCTTGTGATTTCACCACAGCGTACAGGCGCTACAATGTCAGTGTCGCAAATAAAGCGGCATCGGCAGCGTTGTCCGTTAATTAAAAAATGCGGATGGATACAAGTTTAAAAATTTGAATTTCAACCGAAATCGAACTTCAGTATTCTGTGTGCCAGCAAATGATTGCGCCACATATCCAGGTCGGTCCTTGCATGTGAATCTCAAAAAGAAAAAAAAACATAGGAAAGGATCACTTTGAAGCAGGCTCAGCAATACATGTGCCAGACCGGGCTAAGAGCCACATGAACGAAAGAGTATCGTGTTGCGGAACCGTAGAATTGCGTCAGGCGTTGAACCATCTGCAACGCATTACAAGCGGGTGCTTACAAGTTGTCAACCCTGTATCAGCCGTGTTTCACCATCATAATCAAGAACAGCTGTAGTAGCAGGCACACCAATAACAAAGTGTGCCGCCACATAGACGCACGCAGCTCCTTACGGACCAGTAGCAGGGGCATATTCGACTGCTTCGTAAAAGTGTCACGCGCACAGGCGTCCCTTCCCTCATGCCACGGCGCTCTTGACACGCTTGTGATGAAATCGGTGCCGTCTACCAGCGCCGTGCGAACTACTACCTTCCTCATCGGCGGGTGCAGGGAACAAGAGTGGAACGTGATAGCAGCACACTTCAGGTGTGCACCAGAAAGCAATTTACAAGGCGATGCGAAAGGGGCCCATACGTATACAGTGTCGCGTTCTGTTCTTAAAGCCGAAACCTGTGCGTTTTGGTCTCGCCAATCTAATGAACATGTCTTTGCCTTTTCCATCCTTAGGCCTGTTTAACAATTTTGTGCTTGAGTATTGAATCGCTGTTTGCAATCAGTGTGCATTTCTGTCATGGAGCACTATCTTCTGCAAAATTCATGTTGCTGAGATATTATTCATTAACACTAAATCCCCTTTTTTGTGATCTAGCCGTTTCTAATAGCTCTTAGCGTGTAGTGGGAAACGCTGCGTCATCTTCACATTTTTGATCGCATTTTTTTCTGCTTTTGTTCTAGAAAAGAGAGGTGTGTGTGTAGCCTGCGAATATTGGCTCGCATATTCAGGTATGTTTCAAGTGCTCAATATAGCTTACGGGGCTCGTGATATCTCAACGGGATCCATTTCCTTTTCATGATCAGTACAATCACTCAGCTGCGTTCCTGTGACATAGTGGCATTGCAAACCACTTGACTGAACAATTACAACACAGCGTACAAGCGCACAGATTTTTACTGTAGTTTATACAAATTATACAAATTATTCAAGTTATAATTACACAAATATATAGAATACTCACGACTCTTGAGTTCTGTCAAAGCACCGGACATATTAGATAGTCGATTTCTTCCTTCTAAGCATTCCCGAAGACATTTCGAAAAGAGAACAATGTGAAACATCACTGAAAATCAGTACTATTAACGGTAGCGTAGTTGTGTGTGTGTGTGTGTGTGTGTGTGTGTGTGTGTGTGTGTGTGTGTGTGTGTGTGTGTGCGTGTGTGTGTGTGTGTGTGTGTGTGTGTGTGTGTCTGTGTGTGTGTGTGTGTGTGTGTGTAAGTCAGACGCAGGAACTTGCACAATAAGTGCTGAATGCTGCTTTCGGCTCCCATAGTGGAGTATCTGGAGTTCTATACGTGCCAAGAACCACGTTATAGTTATGAGGCAAGCTGTACGGAAAGGCTCCAGAAATTCTGACTATCTAGTGTTCTTTCACGTGCGCTGGCATAGCAGTGTACACGGACTCCTATCAATTCGCCTCCATCAGAATGCCGCCATCACGGTTCCGGTTGTGCCTGCAGTCTTCGGGTCGTCTTTTGCTCCTTCTAATATCTGTCGCGTTTCTCTGCAACTCGTCAGGAGCG